CTGTCATAAACTACGCTCGGACGTTTACTTACTTTTTCAGTCACCTACCAAGTACTAACTTCGCTATTTTTATGACATGAAATGGTTGATTGAAAGAATTTAAGAAATAGGTGAAGCGGTACTGCCGAGAGTTGGAAAAATTCAATTGCTTATTTATATTTTTGGGAGGTTGATTGCTTCCAATAATATTTGAACACATATCACCTAGTGTTGCAATCACAAATGCTACTACCTAGCTGTTCCAGCTACATTAATTTAATGGGTATTTTGATAGTTCAGAACAGTTTTAAGAAAAAAGATAGTTTAGAAATTCAAAGTCTGAATCATATGGGGTATTTAAAGACTGTACAAACTGAAGATTAGGTAACAAACTACAGTGAAGTTCACTTTAATCATAGAGGGATACCACCGTTCTTTTAGTATGGTCAACTACATGGTCCAGATCTTGGACATCAGTGTCCCACTCGTATTTAGATTTCTATGATATTGTTATGTTCAGACCTTTCAGTAAAATGTAATATTCATGATCATTACACATAAACAGATTCATCAGTAGAATTTTATAGATTTAATTCTTGAGTGTATATAATAATTGTTAAATATTACTTACACATTTGTCCATATGAATTCAACTCAACAATAAACGCGAATAGACGAATGATATGAATCGATGTGTAACAACTCAGAAAAATGCATCATCCATGATCATATTTCCGAAAGTGAATTTGACAAAAGACTTGAATAAGTTTGTTTATCATCGAAAAAATTAATCGCACCATGATAATCTTCATTCTTTTGTTAGGATAACTGTAAGTATCTATTACAACTGGATTTATCTAGTAACACTTTAAAATGGAGACGTTCATTTTCGGATTTCTGAAAACATTGCAAATCAACAGCATACAAATATTCAGATATGTGATCTCTTACTAGGCTATGAACAGGTAATATGATTTATGTATTTGAAGTGCGTTATTGGATAACAACATGCAGTAGCGATATCAAACGAACGAAACAAATCTAACTCATATTCATACTATTCAAATTTTTAATTGTTTTGCTTGTAAAATCCCTGACATGTTAAACTTCAGCATATTTAAAAAATAAGTCACCTCTTTAATTATTAAACATTCTCCTTTGCAGTAACTAGTATATATGAACATTTGTACTTGTACAATGCCATCTTTACAACATCTATAATTTAACTTAAATGCTTCACAGAAGATTTCCTGTGACATAATAGTAATTCTACAAAATAATAACATTTTAATGTGAGAAACACAGGAAGTTGGATTGTTAGCTTTACAGATCCATAGAAGTTATATTCAAGAACTCTAAGAATTGTAAATATAGAATAATCAAGATAAAGTAATAACTTCTGTAATAAAAATACATACACTGTATATCACCACAATATAAAGTTGCGTAACGTGTGCAGAATGCGCCTGAACAAAGATAAATCAAACTAGTTAACAGGGAAGACGATATAACATTAATAGAATTGAAGTAATTAGAATAATTTTTTCAAATCGCCATTCCAAAAGTGAATGTATTAAGTCGATTAAATGGAATGTTACTGGAATAAAATAAAAGTGAATCAAACACTTGGGACATTAGAAAAGAAGTGTTCGAAAATATAAACAACATATCGATATACAACTCGATAATTCATTACCAGTATAAGGTTGTGGAAAATGGTTAACAAGAACTCTCTGATAAGATGCCTGATTTTGATGTCTTGATTATAAAATCTTTACGAGGTAGTCATTAATTAAGTTAATAGGAGAAAATGGTTTTCTTAAAGCTTAGTATTGATTCATTGGAACACCACTGATGAATACGAGGTTTTATAATGATGCAATAAGCTTGTGTAAACGTCAGTGAACAAAATTAAGTACTGTTAGAATTATGAGGGTGGTTATCATTTCCCTATCTCTCACACCAAGTAGGATACTTTGACAACCAAACTATATTAGGAGTGGTTTTTATTACTTCAGCGTAAATTTCACTTCCTCAAAAATATCTTTTGAGGGATATGTCCAGAAATGTCTATAAATACACTTCTTTTATTACTTCCTACCTGAATTTCTGCTATAAATACTTGTATATTCACAAATACATTTAGAGATGACTTGAGATATATACTGAATCAATCTTTCATTGATTTGAAAACTATAGGACGGGACAGAAAAGTTTTTTGAACTCTAATCCTTTCATCAGTTCTATTGGGAATCTTATCTCCACTGAATACAATACGGATGAAGATAAAAATTTTCACAACCGTTGGTTATTCGGGGATTTCTGTTAACATTTTTCCATGCTTCATTATACGTTTCCTGGGATGACCGTTTAGATAAGGCACTTCAATCTGTGCCTTTTATACTTAATGGATCCTGGAATTAACGTAGGTATCATTAAGGCATTTAAAATAATCAACATTCAACAAACGCGGATTTTACTCCCCCTTTGTAAACCCCATCGCTATTAAATAATTTCGACTTGATCTTTGTACACAGGAAGAAAATCTTATCTTCATAGTAAAATAACTGTAGTGGTGTGATATTTGTCTATGATATGTTAATCAGTAAAGGGTTGTGGAGATTGTTGAATTTAGCCAAAAACAATAACGACCTAAGTTAGACAACCATTGGAAACGTGAAAGCACTGGACGGCAGTTTTGTCCTAGTACGCATGTACTGAGAGGAAACTTTCAGAACTTAAATGAGAAGCCATAACTAGTGTAACTAAACCGTGTTGGGTATGAGGCAGTTACCTACTGAGGACACTAGAACATGGTTTCGTAATTATTACTTATAACATCACTCTATTCTTTTAGAGACTTCTTTATCGACGGAAATACTAATTAATATTCACCACTATGTTTAATATGTTATGTCTTCCTGTCTTCAGTGTTGTTCTATGTCGTTTGAAACTCAGCTTCATTTACTAATGTGTGAAAAGCTTTATACATAATGATGAAACCTATTGTAACTTTAGACCGTCTGAAAAGAAGCCTCGAAAGATAGTTGATATGACGGGATAAAAAGACAAAATTGCATTCTTTTACTCATCGTGATTTTTGTTCAACATCACTTCCGTTTTTTAGTTCAATATGGTGATTATTCTAAGTAATATAACATAGGTATCATTAAGGCATTTAAAATAATCAACATTCAAAAAACGCGGATTTTACTTCCCCTTTGTAAACCCCATTGCTATTAAACAATTTCGACCTGATCATTGTTTGTTTTCTAGTGTGATATTTTATTCAGCATTACATTAATTATTCGAGTATAGTATATTCTCAAAAAGAAAGTAAATTTGTAAGTTTGCTCAATTTTTTCCATAGTTCAGACTTCAGATTTTACTACACGTCCGTAATCCTTTTCCCTGATATTATTTGAATGGTTATATTCTGATAAATAGATTAATTTAGTGAGCGTGATCTGCTATGAACATTTTTCGTAAGTTGGGATTTATTGTTAAACAATATGATTATTTTCTACTATCTGGATCACATGAAACGCTTAGTTAAAATAGTAAATGTATGTATATATGTATCATTTGTAATCTAGTTAGCTTTTCTGCTAGTTCGTGAGGTGAATTTATTTCACATGTATTTACTGGTTATCTAAATTTATTCACTAACAACAATCAATATCAAAATTATTATTGTCACTACAATCAATCAACTAGTCACTGACTGTCAATTCACTAGTATCGAAGTTTATGATGAGTTACCAAGTGCGGCATTTTTAGAACTGATGAAGGTATCATCAGTAACATAGAATTATGGTTTTGATGCATCATAAATTAACTAAACGTAAACATGTGAACCATTGGCGTCTGAATAAGTGGTCTATTACAAACACTATCGCTTATCCCGAGTTTCATACTTAACAGATCCACACCACCATTACTTACACCCATCAGAGCTGTTTCCAGAATGCCATCGATGGCAAAGTTGAAGAGGAATGGTGAGATTGGGCGATCGATTCGTTGGCCACTGAAAAGTAAGGTAAGATTGGCGCAGACCAAGGCATGGTCAGAGTCCAGATAGGTACTCCAAAAGGAGCGGCAGTCTTGTACACAACCACGCCAGTGGTAGCTGATCGCGATGTGATCAATCTGAGTCCAGGCTTGAGATGCAGAGGGAGGACGCCAGGTGGCACATTGGCGATGACTGAGCCGAAAGTTAGTGCTAGCCAGAAACAGGTTGTGGTCTGTGCACAGTTGCAGTAGACGGTCCCCGTTATCTGTCCTGCGACCAACAATTCCCCACCGGCTACCTAAAAGATGCTCTTTTGGGCCTAGACACCCGACGTGAGCATTCAAGTCTCCGGCTAGTACTACAATATCTGTCGAACGCACTTTCTGGAGAAGAACATTTAACTGTTGGCAGAATTCATCCTTGATTGCATCCGGGCTGCAATCTGTCGGAGCATAGGCGTAGATGACGAAAAGACATCGTTTCTCACGCCGATTTCTTCTCACTTTGATGGAACTTTTTAATCTAACAGCACATGACCGACTGTTAATGTGGATCCAATCGATTAGTGCTGCCTCAGCTCTAGCGCTTAGTGCGACACCAACGCCAGCAAGACCAGACGAAGATGCCACAGGGGCCCCGGATAAGCGCACGTAAAACAAGCTTTTCGAAGCGACAGATGAAGAGCGAATTTGCAGTACTTTTCTCAAAATAGACGCTGGTTGTCTCAGTGTATCTATTAATCAAATTCATGTTGTTTCATCGTGTATTCACATTGTACGTCAGTATAAAATGAATATAGTAAGTCAAGTAACTGCATTTCCATTCCATGTAAGAAAATAAGTTTTCGGTTGATTTTTCAAAGCATTTCTTTGTATTTCAACACATTATCGCTGATATAGCTTACAGAAGCAAGAAAAAATATCTATAGCTTTCTTTTTATGTTGTGATTTAAATGGATCATTCGTTTATTGGTCAAGTTCGTAGTTGACATTGTGGCATCACACATACTTCATAGCCTATGTGGCTCAAGATTAATTTTAGTAATTATTGGTTTCAGTGGTAAATTATTTAAATGAAGTAACTGTTGACCTTGATATCTGTGTCGAGTTCTCATTGTGTTGAGATCAGCTTGCAAATATTGATTAATTCGATTATATTGTATAGTTAGTTCACTTCTAACAGTCTGAATTTCTTCGTTATTTTGTAATAATTTTTGCAATAATTTCTTATTTGACTGAAGAATAGAAGAGAAAAATATAAATAAAATAAGTTTTTGTAAACTTATCACTAAATTAGTCTATCAAATAGTTAGATGGAACATAATACGATAATTATAGTCAACTGATAATTTCCAGCTACATAATACATAAAGCATACTCCGCATAATATTGAGTTGCAAACTTCTGGATAGGATTCAATCAGCGTTAAAATCTAGGAAACGGGAGATCGGAAACCTTTAGTACAGTCAAATAAAATTAATGTAATTTCTAGAGTTTCGATAACAGGAATCATTTAAACTCGTAAGATATGCATGGCAACAAAGATTTCCCGGTTTATATTCGATTAGTTGCTGTTAAAGTTTTATTCACAGAAATATTGATGTGACATAACAATAGGAAGAATCATTTTATGATTTTCACAAGAGTAAGTTATACAAAGTTAAAAATGTTAAAAACTGGTTTCGGAAATGAATATGGTACATTTTTGAGTTGTCACGAATCGAAAATCGGTCAAATTGGTCTCTAGATATCAACAATAGGAAAACATAGACCCTATTAAATAGTAATTACTATATCTGTTAAAGGAATTGGTGGCTATATAAATTCAGTATTTTATTGAAGATCTATTTGTAGTTTAAAGTGATAGGTAGTGAGTTGAAGACGTATTGCGAACATCAACATTGAGATGCAATTGTATTCAACTAACACATTCCAATTAGGCTGTAATAGTTGGTCGCGATTCCGTTGATAGTCAGAATTTAAAAAATATAGCGAAGCTATGGGTTGCCGTAAGGATCGGTCGTGCACAGACCAAATTGCGACACTACGGATCATCGTCAAACAATCAATTGAGTGGAACTCGTCACTGTACATCAACTTCATTGATTATGAAAAGGGATTTGACAGTGTAGACAGGAGAACGTTATGGAAACTTCTTCGACACTACGGAGTTCCTGAGAAGATTGTCAATATTATCCGGAACTCATACGACGGACTACAATGCAAGGTCGTGCATGGAGGACAGCTGACAGATGCATTCTAAGTAAGGACCGAAGTCAAACAAGGCTGTCTACTCTCTCCCTTCCTCTTTCTTCTGGTGGTCGACTGGATTATGAAGACCTCGACATCTGAAGGAAAACACGGAATACAATGGACAGCTCAAAATCAATTAGACGACTTGGACTTCGCAGATGACCTAGCCCTCCTATCACGTACACACGAACAGATGCAGATAAAGACGGCCAGTGTAGCAGCAGTCTCTGTATTAGTAGGCCTCAACATATACAAGGGGAAAACCAAGGTCCTCAAATACAACACGGAGAACAGCAATCCAATCACTCTTGATGGCAAAACTCTGGAAGGTATAGAATCCTTCACATACCTAGGAAGCATCATCGATGAACAAGGAGGCTCAGATGCAGACGTAGAGGCAAGGATTGGCAAAGCAAGGGCTCCCCATGCAAGTACTGACCGGCCCAACATTGCTTAACTGCGGTGATCGGATGAGAACCGGTGCTTTCAACGTGGTATGGTCGCCGGCAAAAAAGCCGCATTCCTACAATTGAAGAACATATGGAACTCCAAACAACTGTCACCCAATATCAAAGTCAGAACCTTCAATGCGAACGTCAAGGCGCTTTACTGTATGGAGCTGAAACTTGGAGAACTACCATAACCATCATCAAAGAGGTACAAGTATTTATAAATGGTTGTCTACGCAAGATACTCAACATCCATTGGCCGGATGCCATCAGTAACAGCCTTTTGTGGGAGAGAACAAACCAGCTTCCAGCTGAAGAATAAATTAGGAAACGACGATGGAAATGGATAGGACATACATTACGCAAATCATCAAACTGCATCACGAGGTAAGCCTTAACTTGGAAGCGGAAAAGAGGAAGGACACAGAACACATTACATCGGGAAATAAAATCAGATATGAAAAAGATGAATAACAACTGGAAAGAGTTGCAATGGATTGCCCAGGACAGGGTTGGATGGCGAATGCTGGTGAGCGGACTCTGCTCCTTCACGAGGAGCAACAGGAGTAAGTAAGTAATGGATTGACTGTACGAAGAACTTTCATAAGGTCAAGAATAATTGGACATTTCTTTTTACGTTTCTTCAGTAGTTGACAGTGTACTGTTTGGATTGAGTACATTTTTGAATCACAATATGATTAACATAATTAAGAAAGATAATATATATATATATATATATATATATATATATATATATATATATATATATATATATATATATATCAAGAAAGGTAATCTACTATTTCTACTTACGGAATTTGAGTCATTCAAATTAAATTAACATGAATTTCACGATTTGCAGGTTCATCTTTTATGCAGTTTGGATAAATTATAAAATTTACGGAAGTTCTTAGAAATTAATGAGTGGTGTACAAATACTTTCTTCATCAGGTTTGATGTGAGAACATATATGAAAGATTTTCCTAATTTTTCTATTGCTGTACATCATATTATGGAGAATGCATTCAACAAGACCTTATTATAAACTACAATAACTGAAAAAAGTGATACTGCTACAGATATCCTGAAGAGAAAAATTTTCGTCTCGATCAGTAGAACGTTTTTTGCAGCATCTTTAGGATTAGTGTTCTCCAGCCGATCAATATTGAATAACAATTTAAGGACAATCTCTCTCGTTTGACCAATTTCACAAGCGTTTATCATTTATATTTATTCGTGTGGGGCCAGGTACATGGTTCGTTCGATGTGCATTTCATCCAAAAGAATTCAAGAACAGTACCCAGTGTGACTGAAAAGAAACGAAAACTGCTCGATAAGAAGCCCTATAATCGATCATCTTGTGAGCACAAGTCATTTGATGAGAATGGAATGGGCGTTGAAAGTCATCGACAAGGTAAGCGGAAAGCTGCCAAAGACAGTTGGCTTCCATCTTTCATTCCTGAAGCTTGAGTCATACATTTGGTAAAATAAAAAAATTGTGTGAAATAGAACTTGTACAATCCTTTCCTCTATTATGGTCTTCAACTTTCGTAATTTTTCTTCTCTTCTTTTCCTTCACAACCATCTGCTTCACTATTACATTCTTCACTTTATTCCTTTTGATCCCAAACTGATATGTTTCTGTTTCTATAATCTTACCGATTACATTTCATCTCCGTTACAAAATTTTATCTTATCACACCAAGCCTTCACTCTTTAACTATAATTGTTCAACTGTCTTCATGATGAATATTTAAGCTGTCACTCATAAAGTTGATATCATTTACAATATGAAACTAATGTTCATATACCTTTATTTTACTTTACTATTACCATTTTTAGCAAAAATTTCATTACCACTATCATTGTGATTACTATCAGTTTGAAAACGAGCATATATTTGCTATTGAACAGATTTGAAAATGAATTCAATCAAAAAGAGAAATCGTCGCTGAACTAATCTTTCTTGTTTTATAATATTTGTACTGGATAACATGATTAAGAATAAAACAAGGTATTCTTAAACGACAGTATTATAGATAATGAAAGCAATAAAAATTACCTTGTTTGGTGTTTTACTCATGATCTGATTCATCATTTTTAAATTTCTATTATTAGCCATCTTGTGTTTTAAACTTGAAAGAAATAGTCGGTGCTTAAATAAAAACAAGAGGTACTAATTAGAAGTATGCACTATGATAAAAGGATTTTAGCAGTTATTAATGAATTAATTAGTTTATAGTTGTGTGAGGTCGATAGATTGGCTGACGGTTAGAGCCGTTATCAGACAAAGTTTCCAGCTTGGTTACGAAATTGTCTGTTACTAATCATCAGGTGATTTATGGAAACGTTTTTTTATATCGAATATTGAGTATATCGGGTATTACCAGAAACAATATTACATTTCTTTTTAAAGACAATTCTACTTTGTTACATTATAAGTGTTCAAATCAGTTGTTGAATAAATCCTTAGTAGTTCAATAAACTATTGATCAGTCATAGATAAGATCTTTATTTAAATGGTGGAAATTGTCTGTTTCCACTTACCATGTCCCGTTATATACTTACCAGTTGTTTCGTAAGAAATGTACATTCTTCAGTTAAAGCATAAAAAACTGAATTTCTTGTACCATTTATAACCTGTTGAATTTTTTCAAACATAATGGTTAAATCTAATTGCAATGTATTAACATGAGATAAAGTGGAATCTATAATTTTTGAAATGTTTTCTAAATTCAGCGATGTTGAATAACTTTCATTTAGTACTTCAACTTGACCATCTATCTAAAAAGCAACAAAGTATGAAATAATTATTAAATATTCTTTATGATGCATTTCATCCTACTGTTGTTAATTCTGCAAGAATTTCGTCACATTTCTTGGAATGTTCTATATTTTGCTCATGCTCAGTTATCCATTGATCAAGTTTACATTGAACACACTTTACATTCTAATAAATTATTGAGCAATAAAATATGATGGCTGCATTAATATTTTAAAATACTTCAACTGTATCAAATAGTAGATGCAATTTTGATTCCAGAGAACATTTAAGACTTTTTAACAGTTGATACTCGGCTTCTACAACTTGTTGAACAGTATCAACATTCTAATTATGAAGTTCAAAAAATAAACAAAGTGATTGTTATAGAGATAAAGTAAACAACAAAATTACTTTGGACCTTCTTGATTTAATTCTTGTAATTTCCGTTTGATTACTTCTTGTAGTTTCTTGTTGTATATCAAAAATTAATTTTTCCATATAGCATTGATAACGATGCAATGATTTGATTACATTTTGGTTTGATTGTTTCAGGCGTAAAAGTTTTTTGATAATATACAGAACGCTTCGATTATGGACATATTTTGCATGGGTACCATTCATATTTATTGATTTAAATGAATGGTTTATGAATTGATCACTAATTTTCATACATGTATGTACTTGCTCTGATAGAATTTTGATTCTATCAACAAGATGATTTATAGTATTTATGATAACCATGTTAGGTATTGTTGGTATTACGTCAACTTGAGGTTGTATATTCGTTGACATTTTTGTTTATATAATTTCTGGAATGAAATGTAAGGTAATTTAGAATCCACATCCATGTTAATAATTATCATTAAAAAATTTTACTTTACCATAAACACGAGTTCACGAACAATAACAGAAGCAATATTGTTAGAGTGGACTCAACTGATGTTTGTAGAGTTATTAAAAAGCTCGTTTTTACTTGAATCAAGCGCTGATGATATTGTCCAGAATGACAACGAATACTTCGTAAATTAATAATCAAGCTCGAAGAATCAAATACAACTGAAATCATCTACCCAAATTATAAAATCTTTCCTACCATTTCATCATGAGAACATTAGTGTTTCATCAACTCAATCAATCATACACCGATTTATAGATTTTAACGGAAAATTTCAAACGATCACATTCAGCAACAATTATGATCGACTAGAATAAAATAATTTGGAATAGCCCCGCGTTTTTTAGATAAGTTCTTCTTAACAAATATATATCTTAAAATTTGTCAACAGACAAAATGCTGATTTCTTTACAATATTCATGACAATCAGTTTCGCAACGGCTGTTCATTAATTAAGATTCAAAAAACAACCAATTAATGTAAATCGAAGAACCTAATAACCAAATGATTTAGTGAGTTGGGTTGAGTAATCTTATAAAATTAATTGCTGATGAATAATTAATATTGGCTATATTTACTTTCAAGTTGTCTGTTTTATATTAATGAATAATCGAAACATTCCTAACTCAGAATGCATTTTAACATGAAAGCTTTCATTGAAAAATATTTTTTTTCCACCAAATATTGATTTAAAAAATACATCTGAATAGTGTGTGAAAAGGTAAAGAACGTCTTCTAGATATATAGTGTAGAATGGAAAGTCTCTTGAAGATAGATTTATGCTAGAATTTCGATTTATCTACTGACTCTTTTCAATAAATGGATACAGTAAGAGAGTAAGAGACAATCAACCAAGCTTGTTAACCGCATTGTTTGGTGCATGGATGTATAAAAATAACAATAACTTATGAATGAAAGTTATGAAACATGCAAACACTGACTAGTAGATTTCATAACATTGTTTAGAGAGACCTTTCTCCATAGAAAAAATGAAGAATAATTTCACAGCTGTACTTAGTGATTATGACATTTAAGCATAAAAATGTGTATAGTTCTATTTTGATCTCGAGATTTTGATGCACTGGTTTCCATAAAATGTATTTAGTTTGAAACTAATTTATTTGCCTATGCAGTTCATGAAGTACAAGCTTTATTAAATAAGTATGTTCATGTAAAATGATCATATTCAAAACGAATTTGATGTGCATTGTGAAAATGAAGTGTTTTCCCTGTTCACAATATAGATATACTTAGTAATGAAAGTGTAGGGTAAATCAGATATTTTAAAAGTATATCCAGTTTCATTAAAGAGTTAAGGCCGTCAATTGATAAACAAAAAAGAAACACTATAGCTGGTTTTTGTATGTTTTTATAATTATCACAGAATAGATAATAAGTCTGTATCAGATACCTTGAGTTGCTGGCTTATTTTCGCATTGTTAAACCTTCTTCATTTTCTTTTTACTTTTATAGTTTTCTATTGTACTGACTGACTCTTACTTTAAAATGTCGAAAATCTGTTGTTGCATACCATATATTAAATGATTCACCTCTTTCGTAAACTTCTAATCATTTAGTATGACGTTCAAATATAGTCGCCTTATCATCATTGTTTCATATTTTTCCAGAGATAACCAAGTTGGGATTGCTTTCGATTTTTTGTTGCACTTATGTCAAACATTTTTTCACTATTTTAGAGGGGATAGTGAACTTCGATCGTTTTGTTCATGTTTTGATAATAAATTATAAAGTAGATGAGTATGTAGTTATAGATTAGGATTTATGTTTATATATGTACTCATTGAATTCTAGTTAAATGAAGTAATAACCGTAGAGTTAGTCTGTCAAACATATGGCTTGTTCTATTTGTAACTGACCGTTGGTTTTGAAAATGGTTCCAATTTTGTTTGTCTTTGTCCAATTGTATCAATTATATCCGAATGCAGAGTACAAATGTACTAAGTATATCTTAGTCCACCTTTTACTTCCCGTTCACTAAAGTTTACTTACATATCAATAAATACCCGTTCTCATTTCACACTGCAAAATTATTTTCTCCAACCAGTTAGATAAGATTTAGTAATTATATTGTTTAAAAAAATTTGGATTTTTTAAATAAAAAGCTTTTGTATGAAGAAAAATATAGTTTTAGTCTAAGAAAAGTTACTCACAAACAATTGAATGTTATTTAGCAAAAACTGCAGTTACTAAGTGATGATATAGATAACAAATCATGACTTGCTATAAAAAAAACCCAATATGGGTCAAACAATTTAAATTTAACATTATTAAAATAGCGTAATCATTATAATAACTTAAAGTGAGAAATATTTACTTGAATTCCCGAATGGCTTAAAGAAAATACATTGAGATGGATGGCATATTGATAATGATTATCTTTTCTGTGATGTTAACCATTTCATCAGGTTTTCGATTTATTCATTTGCTTTATAAATTACAAAGTCTTATTTTTTCAAGAATAAATCCATCTGTTCAGCATAGAACTGGTCATAAAACATTGAAACTGCAAACCTATAAACTTATTCTATTGAGTATTAAAGAAAAAAGTAAGTAATTCCGAATGTTATGCGAGCCCAACTCAACTTTTCACGAATCATTCACATTTAAATATGCAGTCTATAAGTCAGTAATCCAATTGAAGAAAATAAAATCGTAAAATTGAGAGCCAGTCCTATTGATTAACAGCTTAGTTTCATGTTTTACGTCCCATTGGATTAAGAATCCGTAGATTTAGTCAGAGAAGTAAATGTCTAGACCTTGAAAAACACTAGCGTAAATAAAGTAATATTCATAATGTTAAACATTATACAATTATTTGCTCAACAATCAATGTAATAATTAAATACTTGAAACTCGATTCCGAAATATTGTAGACGATATATTCTACAATTGTTACTGAATACAGTTCATAGTTTGTTTAAAACAAAATTTCCTCCGTATCTAGCAGTAGTTTATATGATTTCCAATTAATTGTATATCGAATGTTAAATCAACAAATAATATTAAAACTCAAAATATTAAATTTACCGCTACAAGCGAAATAAGATATTTATTATTTCTATCAAATTTATATATATATATATATATATATATATATATATATATATATATTCTCCAAATTTACAATCGAACACAAAAGATGATAAGTGAGAAAAAGGTCATATAATATAAGATAAATATCATTGTACTCAGAATGATTACTTCATTTTGAGGGCAAACTGTTACCTTACATCATTTTATTCATGTGATCAGTAGATAATAAGGTCATTAAAAGTGTAGAATATGAAATTGTATTCTAAGAGAAATATATGAATAAAGAGAGATAGGAAGAGGGTTTGATTAGATGTATTGATTGTTTCTATCATATAGATTCTTTTTTTTTTGTATAGTTTTGATAATTGTTTCAAAATTGATGATAAAATATTTAATAAAGTCTGTACAGGTATACGAACAAACGTATTAAAAATAGTTCTTTGGTGAACCAATTATTTTAAGACTCGGTATCATTATTGAGATTAATTGATTATCTATGACTAAATAATTGTTTTATAAACAGATTTTATTATTTTCAAACAAACCAGACTATCAATTTATATGTGTGTGCGGAAATACGTACACAGGGAGGAGCAATCATGATCTGCAAGAAAGGGTGGTGGAACACATACCACAATAGCTGCAGAAACAAATGAGTTCCAATGGTCAAATAAGATCACAGGATAGATATCTTCCTCCGTTAAGAAACATTTAGTTGAGATTGGTCATAAGGTTGATATCAAGTCCGCATTTGTAGTGTTGTACAAAAGCCTTCAAGGATGTATACTAAGGTTTATTGAAACCTTGGCTATGCGAAAACTGAAACACCCTTTACGTGTTCGAAAACAATTAGTTCTTACCCTTAACCTAGCCTGATAATACTGATTTATTATCCAGAGTGGTTATCACATTGTTTTTGTGCACTTTATTTTTCTTTGTTACGGTTTACCTTTAACCTGTCTAGTTGACCTTTTTGTTTTCATATGAAAATGTCTTAACAAGTATGTGTGTGATCAGATTGTATTGCGCAAATATATCACATAATTGTGATAATTTTCGTCTTCTCATTGCATTATCGAAACCAGACTATCTTAGATATTATAAGTGACACTATGAATAATACTAAAGTTATCACAATTTTAATTTTAGCTAATTGTAACCGTTAATCTGATTTGCTTGTTTATGAGACTTTTGCTAAATACTCAACTTCATGAAATCATAACCATGGTTCTCTCTATTAGTTTGGAAAAAGATTAGAAATGAGAGCTTGTGCTAAATAACATAAATTCATTTATTTCATTGATCGACTACAAATTCCAAATTAATCATCATGTTACGCAAAAATTCATTGACATAATGTAAAATTCTGTGAGTTGTGTCACTTAGAATAATCAACACCTAGTAAAACAGTCAAGACATCTTAAAAACGAGTATCCAAGAGAGTCCTATAATATGTTTGAGAAACGGATCACTAGTATGACCCTGTTCGACATTTGTGCTAATATTATCACTACGCTTACTAATTCAGTCCCAATGACTAGGATAGTTTAGAATGTAAACAAACAACAATCTACTGAAAGCTACTGACAAACTACTGATGGTTCAAACACTGAAGATATCGCTCCTTTGAAATAATCTAAATGTTTTTTTTGCTACAACAATAGCCACTCGTACAATAGTACATAACCAAGTTTGATGAATAAAACTCCTCATAAAAAAACAATGGCCAAAATATGCAAACAACTTTCTGACATGAAAATAACGAACAGTGAATTAAGGATAGTGACCGAATGCCTTAATCTTATCTATTTTACAGATGACATACCTGAATTATAGACATGTCCAATGAATCGTTCGATTTGTGCACATAACTTAATTTTTCGGAGTAGTAACTTTATTTCTGCAATACAGTATCAACAGTATCAGTAAAATTGTCACATACTAAGAAATTTTTCAAAGAAATAACTTAATCTGTTATGAGAAGTTTGTCACTAATTCATCTGGTAGGCCAAACATCTTTAGTATGTAGGATTACTAAAATGACAAGAATTGTGAGAAGAATAACAACATCCTAATTCTACTTCTAATTTTTAGTTTGCTTAAACTAATTATGTGAATATCACACTTTGCTACAACATCGCTTTTATGGGTGTTAAAATCTCAGTGCTTGACCACACGTTTTACACCATATTAACGTGAACAATAATAATCTCCAAAAATCAAGCATCTACAGCCATTTGTCGACCCTGAAATTTCATTCGCTTCCATTATGAGTATCTGCATTTAATTTTGGATGCATTATATAACTAACTACGTTATTTTAACGTCAAACCAAAAGTAGAATATTAAAGATATTTGAGACACGTGTTTCAGTCATTAGCATGAGACAACAAACCAACAGACGATATGAGTACATGTAAATGGAATTAGCAGATCCAAAGATCAATTGCTTTTCTTCTCCTCAGCTTAAAAATAGAGTAAACTAAAAACGTAAGGAAAAGTAATAGATAGACTAGTCAAATGACGGATAAATAGACATATTTACAGAAGTATAAATAAAAACAAAAAATAAGCATAAGGGTTTCAAAACGACTCGCTTATCACATGTTTTCTGAATTATCGCCAATTGTCCAAAAGTAGGAATAAGTTTACGTGGATATAGTACAGACACTACATGTCTGTTCGAAAGCCTGAAGTCTTAATAGGTGAAGAGACCTCTGGATTATTTACATTGAAGACATTACTAGGTTTAGCGAAAGAAGTTTTAATTCGGGATTTCGTATTTCCTTTATTACCTCTAGAATTACTATACAATTTATCTTATCTGTCCCTGAAATCCACCACCTTGATTCTAACACCTGATAACCTCTGAACTGTTCTTGCATATATATATCATTGATGACCTCTGTCATTCCAGTCCTTAATATTCACTTATGTCAATTGTTCCATACAATTTCTTACCTCAATGTAAAGTTCTAATACATATTTAGTTATAAGAAGCTGACGAGAAATCACGAAATATGATGAATTCATATTATTCTGCATCAATATTTGTTCTGGCTTTATTTAAATTCATGGTGTTATCTCATGGTTTCCGACTAGGCATGATATACTTTTGGCAGTTTATAAACTCCCGAAGTAAATGGTTCAGTTAGTATTCGACAATGACGCTAGCTGGAGGTGCTCGGTCACGCATCCGCACCAGATTACCAGTGAGTACGCCATGACATCACTCACAACTGGTGGCCAGATTAGACCAAACGCTTTTCAATAAACTGGTAGTTTTCCGAACATATCTTCAAACCTATTCACTCCTCACTTATGATTTCAGTGAGTCCGTATTTTTCAATTATACAGGTGTCATGTGTAAAGGTGTTATCAAACTTCGACTCCCCGTGGCGATGGAAATTGACACAATTATGTCCAACCGAAATTGACATATGAGCCGCAACTGGGTATGACTACACGATTGCCAAGGCTAAGGTTGATCGTCTAGTGTCAGCTATCCTTAATCATCCTTGGCACTTGTGTGATTCGGTGGACTGTTCAACTTTCAGTCATAAGCCTACTAATTCATGGATGTGTTTAGCGTGACAAGTAATATATGTAGGGTTCAGAAATATTTCTTTAGCCGTTGAAACATGCTTAGCATAAATATCGCTACGTCACGTTCGAGGATACAATACAAATTCTAATAGTCTTAAAATGTTTAAGCCCATTATTTCTATCTATTACCTCATTTTTACAGCTTTATTTCGCAAGTGAAATTAACTTGAAAAAAAATCAACGAACACACAAAAATGTTTAATTACATCCAAAAAATCCTAGTTTGAAATAACTCGTCATAAAGATAAATAATGCCGGAAATATATTGGAACCTTAATTTATGGTCAGCGCTTGATTTACTATAAGCGCAACTGTATAATTTCAATGGGTTACCATTCGATTTGGTCGAGGAGTTATCTCCAGTAAAACCAAATGTAATGAAAGCGTTGATTTATTCTTTGCTTGCGTACATTTTGTTGGACGCAAATGTCCTGGCAGTTTTGCTGGTTGTATGTCATAGTGTTTTGTACTTAGTAGTTTTAGAAAGACCTCTCATCAGGAATTGTTGACGAGTTTGAGGATTCGGAAGCACTTTTTGGTGGAGCAGTTTCTCAGGAGTCCTTAATACTGGTTGGCTTGGTTTAGTTCTTTCCACATTTGCAGGGACGAATTTATGCATCCAAACCACTAGAAGGCTGTGTGGACCAAATTCCCAAACCTAAAGATGATCACAATTCAACTCTTCCTTACATCTCACTCATCAAACGTGGAGATTGCTCTTTTGTAGATAAGGCTTTAGCGGCCGAAAAAGGTGGATATATTGCAACTGTTATTTTCAATGATGTTGACGACAGTACTTTCCCAATGGGCTACAATTCGTGTAAGGTTTCTCACCTCTCATCTTTTCGTTGGTAGCCACAAATGTCAGTATTCCTGTCGTAATGGTTGGTTTGTCTGACGGCGAGCTCCTACTAAATAAGTACTGCGTGCCACAGTAAGTTGTATGTCAGTTTATTAATTGTGGATTCGAAGCTTCATATTTCTTGAATCTATTTTATAGGTGCTTTATTTGCAGGCGAGTAAAGCGGATGCATTCCGACTTGCTTTTCCGTTTAAAGATGTTTACTTTGCCTTTCCATTTAGTACTCGTTCATATATCTGTTTGGTGACTATTTCTGACATGTGAAATTTTGGTTTGCAGGACTTTTTTCCTTTAATTAAATCAGATTACTTAATACTTGCTTCACTAACGCTTATTAGATTTATAGGTTAGACTAGAAGTCTCCTAAAAATTATCAAACTTTCTGTGTTAATACTCTTACGGGAGGTATTATACTCCTCAAATTTGTTTTTAACTCTAAAAGTAGTGCAAAAGTATTTAGGTTTTGAGTAGCTTTGAACTTTTCTATACAAATTTGTATTTAATACAGTTATTTAGTAGGTAAATCGCCTAGGAGTGAAAAATCGTTTACAATTACTTATTGTACTAGCATGTAACAGGATTTCACATGCAGTTCGATTACATGAATCTGTGGCACACCAACATTCCTACTTGGTTACCTACAACTACTAAACGATTTCATACTAACAAGTGGCCAGGTCAGTGAGGACACATTCCAGATAAGTGTAAGGAAAATCATATGATAGGTATTGACAGCAACGAGTCAAACCTATTGTCGACAAAGCAATGTGCTAATCTATTGCAAAGAAGTTCTATTGGATTACTTTTATCGAAAGTTCGTGACGATGATGCTGAAAAAGAATCGTTACCGCTACCTTGACAGTGTAATCGAGTTTTCCTATCGTGATGAATCAGTCGGGCTATACTGGATGGAGCAATCGTTCCTCAAGGTCCTACCATGCCAGACAGGTCAGCTAAAAAGCGGTAAGACCAAAAGTAACAAAACTGAGGGAGAATTCGTACTGCTGGCTGTACAGAGGTATGACGGCCATGAGGTGTCTCTCTCGGACAACCAGCATAATAGAGATGCTGCCTTCCCACAAAGGAAGGGTAAAGTTGAAAAAGGTCGATGCAAAAATTGCACACCTCGCATTATCCTACGGATTTCCGTTTCCAGTGGTAAGGTCTCAACAAGTACGGAACTGACACGAAAATAGTCCACAAAATAGTCGTGTGCAGCCGGTCTCTAGCAGTTGTCTCTTGGGCACTGCGGTCACGCTCTCAGGTCACTAAGAATAACTCGAACCCAATTTCACTTTCGGGTACCTGTAGAAGAACCCTTTCACGGTATGGGCAATCAGGAATTTATAACCGCCCTCATACCTCTCATAGGCCAGCAGGCCTCCTCCGCTAAGACCCTAGAATCTCATTCGATTGACGTACACTATCTCCAAACCACGCATACAGGATCCTAGTGTGGTCATTCACTTGACCTCATCTCGCCAAAACGGAGGACCGACGAGGTACACTCTCTGTGTATCTGGCGATCCGATGGCTAGTCCTCGTGAACTGACAGGTGTAGGTATAGCACTAAGGACAAGGGTGGGACAACACTATCGATGTGGATTTCCGTTAACAGCCGTCCATGTGCTGTTCGGATAAACGGCTCCGTAAGAAGTCAGAAGGATAGGGACAGACGTCGTTGCGTTTTGATAATTTCTGCCTACTCTCCCCCTGACTGCAGCCAGGATGAAGTAAAAGGTGTGTTTTACAAAAAGCTTTCTGAACTTCTTCAAAAAGCTAAACACTCAGACATAGTATTCGTAGCAGGTGACGTTAATGCTCAAGTTGTTAGCTTGAACCAAGCAGAAATCTATTTAGATGGACATTTTAGTGTTCCGGCTCACCAAACAAATAATGGTGACCGTCTGCTGTCCACTATCTCCATTTTCGTTCGACTTCATCATAGACATACTGGTGGAAACAACGTTCTCATTGTCTGAGTTTGATATTTCCCAACTTATGTCACCTGTAGTGAAAACGAGATATCCGTTTATCAATTAAAGGACGAGTATATTGCACAGCAGTTCGTTCTATTTTACTTTATGGCTTCGAAACGTGGTCATTAAGGGTAGAGGATACTCATAAGTTACTGGTATTTGATCACAGAAGTCTTATAAATATTCCTCAAATCTGCTGGGATCACTGGGCAATAGTGAGGTTAGATGCAATTTATTAGATATTGATGGTAATCAGTTGATGAGTTTGTAAATCTTCATCGACTGAGATGGTTTGGCCAGATCTAACACATGCGCAACCACCGATTACCACGGTGCGCAATGCTGACTAGTTACTAACTTCTTGTCTAAGTCATGTTGATAGATGCAGACTACTTGGTTGGGGTCCGCGTGACTGTCGCAACTGTGGGTGACATGGATCAAAATCGATTGCAATGGTGTAGGTGCATACACTCTTTGTCTTCCTTCAAACTGTGAGATTAAAATTGCTTTATACCTTTCTACGAATTAATTCTTTTTCCCTGTGTTATACCCTTATATGCAATCTTTTTTACTACCATTGATGTAACTGCTTTAGTGAATTTGGTGTTCATCTTGTTGTGCTGATGAGGTGTGACAACTTGGACCAGTACATATATATATCCTGTCTTATGTTGACTGACAATAATAGACCATCCAGTTCAAAAAATACAACTTAATCAAAAAGCATTTCCTGAAATACACCACGTCAAGCTAGAAGTCGATCGAATGCTTTTTTACAAGACCACATGCATTGTTCATACTGTATCGTGAAAGATACAACTGTTATCCTAATTAGTACTGTAGTCACTGTAGCCGTATTTGGCTAGATCTTTTTAAGTCTCTTTACAGCAAAACATTTCTTATGGCAGTTGATCCATATAACGGGAGCTCGACAATTTTCTTGATGAAACACTCAACCATAGTTTCTTCTGAAAGAAGCTGTCAAATCTATCCAGTTACTTCGGATATCAGGAAGCAACTGAACCAAGCAATATAGAGTAGTCTGTGAAGCATTAATTGACCTATCACAGTGTTTGTAGCAGTTAGCAAGATTTATTACTGAATACCACTAGATATTTTATTAGATACTAGCATCATGCGAAAAATAAACCTAAATTTCTACTGATAAGGAACATCGGTTTGATGGTATGACACTTAACACTCAGCCGCTAGGTCCCAATATAACTATATGTTACTTTTCCTAAATGTTTCAAGATTCTAATGGATAATGACTTATTTTGTTTACACTTTACTCTCTCACTATTCTATCTGTGGATTAAATCAATAAGTATGCAGTTCGTATTTTTGATGTATTTGTAGTTATTTTGTTGAAATACTACCTGCTCATCGCCGAAGTATCGTGTTGTATCTTATTCCACTCATAACATGTCTGCTGATATCTGTAGTCGCATTGAGTGTGGCATATGGAATTCGGCTTTTGAATCGATACCGGAGAAGATATCGTTATTGCTTACCAGTAAAAGAGTTACGTAAAATACCTGAAACTTTATTTGTTAAAGGTAAGTTATTCTGTTGATGTTTGTATGTACGAAAAGCAACCCACCTACGTTATTTATTCACTTGGTGATACGATTAGAAGTCGGCTACATCTTGGGTTTTTTCGTACAATAATAAAAGCGAATATTTGCTACATTAGGGTTAAACAGTGGGATAAACGTCTAAATTAAAACAAGATTGCCAGTCCCCTAGTTTTGGGCATAACTAACAGGAAATTTGTTTTTATATTCAATCTTTTCAGAGTCTGCAATTTCATTAAGCGGAACTTATTTGTCGACAGTCTTTTTTTCAAGTAAATTATTCAGTTACAAAATATGGAGGTTACTAATTATCTGGATTGATAAATAAATATTTAATCAACTTCTTAATGCACAAGTAATAAGTACAACCTTTATTTAAGTAGTGTTAACGTCCAAAACTCTGGAAGGTTTATGAAATCACTAATTATAAAATGGAGTACAACGTCATTAATGTTTTCATAAAATCTCTTCAACTGTATGTTTTTATTATGCCTAATAGGCCAGTTGATAGTTCTTATCGTGTTACAGGAGATATGTTTTCCGAGAAATATTAATTCACCATGCTTTTAGTATTCCACCTTTCAGAACCATTATTCAGTCACTTAGGTTTTTTACACCGACCAACTTATTTTTTAATTAGTTCAGATCTATATAACCTTACTTCTATGTTAATTCCCCGTAAAACTTTTTATATCCGTTTTTACATATTTATCAATTTTCCTTTTTAAAAGCATAAAAGTTTGTAACTAGAAGTCGCCTAATTAAATATCGACATTTTAGGCTAGTTTTCTACATGTAGATTTTGTGAATAAACCTACCAAATGCAGTGTTTTTCGTTATGGAATTAATCAATATAAAATATTCAACCTTGCTTCTGTTATAATATTTGATTAGTGAAAAATGTATAAAATCGTTAAGCTTTTGTTGTGCAATAGGCAACGTAGCTTACTTGATAGTAGTTTAGCATAGCAAACATTGGATGGTGATTTTGAGGCGCTGTTGATAAGGGTACTTTTATTCATATTCATAGATACATGAATTTGGGAAGCAAAAAATGAAACCATCCTACTGTTAACTTCGGTGTACTGTAATCATTTTACTGATTAGCATAACTATACTGATATTCATTCGCATCGGTTTATTTAAATTATCCAAGACCGAATAAATACGACTATTGTGAAACTAGAATTTTTTCGTTATAGAGCATACATTCACTTTTTTTACATTCTTTATGTGGGATTTTATTTTACTATTCACTATCAGTTATAAAAGTAATTATTTTGTTGCTTACACATTTGGATTTTTACCCTTCTTACTGCCTCAGTACTTTCCCGTTTATTATGATGAATTTTTCCAGACTCCAGTGAATTTGAAACTTGTGCAATTTGTTTAGAAGATTATAAAGATGGTGATAAATTGAGAGTATTACCATGTGGGCATGGTAAGTGAATAATCATTTACATGAAAAATTGCATCTTTTCATAGCTTCTTTTCTTAATACATAAAATGTATCATGTTATTTTTCTTCCTTACAACTATGACTTATAAAAAAATGTTGGTCACAAAAATAAAGCGATGACATCTTGAGAAAATTAAAGAAAAGAAGGGGAATACGATGACTAAAGAAGAAATACAATTAACTAAAGTTGCAACTAAAAGTTCTTTCAATTAAAGGCATTCCTCTCACTTTCAAGAGGAATATAAGAAATACAACAGAATCGTCAGTGGCTTCTACCCTAACCAGTCTCTGATAACGTCTCAAGTCATTAAATTCTATCATCTCTATGGTAGCTTGAAAAATGCCAGTCATATGCAGCTTTCATACCACGGCAGCAGTTTAAAAACTGTCTACCCCACTTTTCCAACCCTGACTCAGCTCCGGCATATAATGCACACTTTGGAAACCTGTGTAATGATATTCGTAAAACATGTTCAAGCTAGCAAACTCAGTGTTTCAATATAGTGACATTAATTTAGTTATGGTCATTGCACTTGAACATACATTGCCAAGGGTCAGTATTACTAACCTGTTATCACTGGGTGGAAACAAGCTTATGGAGACAACGATCATTTGATACAGAGTCGTGGAGCGTTGACGGAAGCCAGTCGTTTGGATCTAACTGAGAGTGGACTTATCCTCCGATAGTAATTGCCCAAATTACTCGGTCCTTTCCAGGATGGAGACGATATTACGACACTACCTCTTCCTCAACCCTTTCAAAGCAACTCAGTTAGTCCTCTGATCAGAATCTCACCTCCATCTGTACTTCTGTACCGATACTTATCGTAGCTTTTCTGTGTACTTTCAACGAAGGCAACGCGGTCACTTATTTCATTTATTATCTATTATTAATCTAGCAGCACATAACTGACTGTTAATGTGGATCCAATCGATTAGTGCTGCCTCAGATCTAGCGCTTAGTGCGACACCAACGCCAGCAAGACCAGACGAAGTTGCTGCAGGGTCTCCGGATAAGCGCACGCAAAACAAGCCCTTTGAAGCGACAGATAGAGAGCAATCTTGTAGTACTTCATCAGAGTCTTCGATATGGATCTAGGACGGACAACAAACGTTGATATTAAGACTTTCTTAAGACACAGCTAGCCCTATCTCTTGTCCGATCTGCATTAATGTGCGAAAGCTGAAGGCAGCTAGTTTGAATGGTGCACATGGTTTCAGAAAAACTGCTTCAGTATTCGTATTCGGTGGTAGCATTCAATTTCCGACCAGGCAGTGATTCGAGATCGTTTAGATAGAACAAAGTTTCTACCATGGGCGAGCTGCTGCATAAGTTGAAAAATAAGGATACACAAGGTGGGAATAAAAGAGTGAATAAGTGACGTGGTAAAAGATAATAATAATAATAATAATAATAATAATAATAATAATAATAATGTGAATTGTTTGACTGTTAATCGAAGCGTGAATAGTGTTTTCAGTAGATATCGTCATTTCATTCTATTTATGTGTGGGCTGTGATACTGCTCGGGTACTCAGACCAAAGCGGATGGTTTTCTTAGGAGGCCACACCCCGAACCCCGGGTCTGACCTACAAGGCAGTGGAGCGTCGTGAGGAGATGCAGTCCCATAGTAGCCGGTGACCAACAATTGGTTCATACGCCATTATTTCCTTCAGGATACTGGAGCCCATGTGCGACATTGGTTTGAAATCAGGGTTTCCCGACTCCCCTAGCTGGACTCACCGCGTCCACCGGCCCGGTTCAAGCGCCGGACATTCGCTTTTCGTCCTCTCAATTTTGTAAACAACACCCCTGCCACGAGAAGGCAGCGAGTAAGACTTCCCTGGCAAATGTTGTTTACGCGTGGCTGTGTGAGAGCATTTCGAGAGGCAGAGCTGACTCTCCCCACTCTCGGCCGTACTAGGGCATTTGGGGGCAGGCGGGCTATAATCACTGTAATATGAATTCAGTTGCTTTGTAAGACTTGATTCGTAGCGTGACAAATAATTCTCTACATTATTACTAAGTAGTTTTTAGAGCCATAACGGCATTTTGTTTACTCCTGTTTAAGTATGCGTTGTTCACTGTAATCATGATTTGTGTACCTTTTAAAGTATGATCCGTGAAAATTTTTGTCTACAATATTTTTCGTACAGATGTCAAGAAGTTTTAGTTTTAATCTCAAGTTCTAGTTCCAAATATCTTCACGCTTTTGAAGCTTCTCGATGTAAAACTGTAGTTGTAGTTGCAGTATTTTGGCAAGTAGTAATGTTTGATTATCAGGAAACGTTGTGCCTAAAACTTCCACTCGTTAGTGTATTCTAATCAATGAGTATTTTCATCCTCATTTCAAGCATAAAATCTAAATAGTCAAAGCTCTAAAATAAAAGTGGTTATTACTGAGCTTTTCGCGTGACCATTGACTTATTATAGATCTAGACTAAACACGATTTCTCATCTTCCATTTGATATCTCAATTACTGATAGAAATGTCCCTGTATTAAAAAGATCACTAGCCACTGAAAATGGTGTTATATGTTTCTGCATAGTCGTTAGGGCAGTTGTGAATATGAGTGCTTTGTTCGTCAATTATAAATTTGGTCAACAGATTTCCATTCATTACTGAGTTACTAATATTTGTTTACTAGTTAACGCATTAATAGCATTTGAAATTTCTGTTCATTTACTTTAAAACCGTCCTATTCTTTTTAAAGCTTACCACAGTAAATGTGTAGATCCGTGGCTTTTAAAACGTCGTGGTTTTTGTCCTATATGTAAGAAGAAAGTTCACATCGTCCTAGAGTCTACATTTCAACTTCTACAAGATATAGACGCGCTTCTGCATATGCCACTACATCTGAAGCTCCACTTTTGGATGATTCGTCTTTCGAAGATTCTGATTCAGAAGATACTACTTCATCACCTCAGTTAAGTTTCTACAGTGGGAACGTCCATTCAGATGAACATACTCCGCTTATTAATGCTTCTGTTGAACAATCAAGTGCTTCATCACTTAGGCGAATGAAGATGACTACTTCAATTCGTGAAACCTTGGAAAGCTTTTTAACAAATGTATCAAGTTCTTATTCCAGAGGTCATAATTCATCCGACTATGAACAGGGAACTAATAATGTTAATACAGCCGTGGAATTACAACCTGAATGTTCTCAGATTGTCGCTGAATCCCTCGTAAAAGGTTATTTTTTTGTTTTTTGAGGGAAAATTTTGGGTTGAACTTGGTTCAGTGATCTCAAAAATAAATCTCAGGTTCGATGTCATATTTCGTAATTAGGAACAACTTAAGACATCAATAAGAAATCTGAGTAAACCCTTCCATCTCACATATTTATCATTTTGTTCATTTGACTTGTATTATTCATGGGATAATAACAGTAAAATACTCTCTTGAGTCAATACATGTATTTATTTATATTATACAAATCTCAGCATAGAATATTCAGTATTGGGATAAGTTGTTATTTTGTACCCACTTAACTTGGTAATGTTCAAGAATATGTTTCTATAAAATTTTTTAACAGTGATTAGCTATCAATCATCACACGCAAAGTTCTCCGAATATTTATGCTTCTAAAATATTTTTATCGTATACTGTATTTAATGTTATAGTTTCGAAGTAAACGCCTATTACTTCCTCAATTAGTAAACACGAAAGAAAATAGACCAAATGTTGTGATATTTCTTTTTGGATTTTTTAATTACTAAGTATCTTAAGAGGTTTCAAGTTTTTTTTTATATGAAAGCACATGGTTTACGTACATAATTATTTAGTTAAAATGTATGTAAAACAGGATAATTTATTCTCACAATTTAAAAAGATAGATGCCCCGTTGATTTGAGCTAGTTGTGACATCAGAATCAGTGAATGTAAATGTTATCTTTCGTTAAATTCATAAACATCTCATCTTTCATGAGTCAAGAATTGTTCAAGGATCATATATTAATAACGTGTTTGTACTACTGATAGGTGGTCGTTTAAAAAATCTGTCTTATTTTTAAATTGATCATGAATTATTATATTACCCACACATACAATTCCATATATCACAGTTTAATGTATTTTACTGAAAACAGTGGTTGTATATGTTAAGATTTGTTCATTACACAAACATGTGAAACATTTTAACAATGTATTGATTTGAAATCAATGGTAAAAGTTCCTTTTTTTTTCTTTTCTCGATCACTTGATGTTAATTATTTAGTTGAATAATTCATGTGAAAAACACTGTTCTTGTTGTTTATGCGAAAGTATTTCTTACTTAAACCATTTTCTTCATTCGTTCTACGAATTGTCCTATAATGTAAAATAAATAAATTCCATTCAATTCTTGTATAAACCGATCTTTATACTACTAGGTAATACTGTAATTCTTAATTACTTTCATCCTTAATCTTATTTTTATGGATTGATTTAAAATCAAAATAAGAATTCTTGTTTCTAAACATTTACCGGTTCGAAGAGAATTGTAATAGAAATTACACTTAAAATATTTAAAATCTTTTTCATAAAACTACTTTTATTTTGAGTGTATATCTGCGTCGAGTTGGATTTCTCGATGTTTCTTTGGAGGGCCCCGACCTATGGAGTTAACAGTCCCGTCAAAAGGTAATTTTGTACCAAGATTGTATTTTGATCACTCGATGTCACATACTAAACGATTGAATAACATTTCTTCATAAACTTGGTTTCGATCGCATGGGAAGTAGTGTCTGCTTACTACAGATAAGTCACTGTCGATATGAGACATCTGTTCGCTGTTTCTTACTGTTTATTGGCTTTCTAGATAATGTTAGTTTGTCCGTGTAATTCGACCACTATGAGTATTTTGGAATCAACATACTATTTTCTTCACTGCTACATATTTTCTATGGATTAATTAAACTTCATCTAGTTCTGTAACTGAAGAAATGTTTTCTTTAATTGGACCTGCAGTCGATTTAGCACCAATTAAAAATCATATAGTACCCGACAGCTGTTTCCTTTAGATATATGAGATCATCCCCAATTATGTAGTAGTATGGTAATTGTGTGGTATAAATGAAATAATGATATTTTATTCAATATTGAATCTGAGAACTATTAAACTAGTTACAATATTAGTTCTTACCGTTAGATTCTTTGCTTTCACTGGTTCACTAGCAAATATTGTAATGAATGAACACTCGGCTGAGGAAGACCAATCCGCTATTTGGTACGAAATTACAAAGCATCTTCTTAAAATATGAGAACCATACATAAGATGCTTCATTTGCAAATCTTATATCAGTTGTCCTTCACATTCTGTATGATTCTTCCAATCCACAATTCCTTCCTATTTCTCTTCTTGTTTTCCTCAACTTGATCTTCTTAACCTTCTGCTGCCAGGTTTTTCACTTCCGATTGGTGTTACATGCTACTTATGTCGACAAATATAAGTAGCATACACCACAATCGTTCACCCTTTAAACAGTCGCTTTTGCGGTTGTTCTGCTCGCCGTTCTACCTTTGCTGTAATCTGTGCCACGCTCCCCGTTGAAATATCGAGTCCGCCGGCATGCAGACCTCCATAGCAATGTTGACATAAGTAGCATACACTACAATATCACTTCATAATATAAACTGTATTTGATCCACTAATAAACTTAATAACCTATTTAGCGCTATGTTGTCTCACTATTTACTGTCTTCATGGTATATGCAACAAATCTATTTTCATACAAACATTGTTCTTCACGAATAACATCCATATTCTTTTTTGACAATGATAGTTCATTAGTTTGAATCATAAATTCTGCTCTAATCCTTAATTCAGCTTAGCTATCAAAAGTTATCACACATTCATTTTGATTATTTCTAGCTTCATAATACATAAGGCTTTTCAAAGTTACTTTATATTATTTCCATGAAATATCCTCTTTATTCTTTCTATTTTTGTTGTATTTTCTCATTAGGTAAACAGTGTAGTGAAAGTGATACTGAATCTGGACTAAATAATGAAATCAATGATAGTCAGTCACCTTCAGTAATGATTACTCATGTTGAAGTGCATACGGATTGTGATTTATCATGTATGCACAAATCTCATGCTTAAGCAGTATATATATGTATATCCTGTTTTCATTTGTTCGTCTAAACCATTTTATTTTTGCACAATTCACAATGATGAATAGTAATAAAATCGTGTTATCAAAACCAATAAGTTTCAAATACTGGGCTATTTCTTCTCTCACTTATTTTTATTATCCTTTTTTTTCTACTGAAAATAATGAAAAAATTAAACCGTTATCAGTTGATGTAATTCTCTTATATACGTTTGCATAATTAATGTGTATATTTTTATCTCCTTTGTCGATGGACTACTTGGTTAGCTTAAATGGTTGATTAATCAACTGGACATTCAGACAATTGTTGCTTTATATATATATATATATATATATATATATATATATATATATATATATATATATATATATATATATATATATATTTGAATATTGTTCGGTTATTTATGCATTGTGTAGCTATTGTGTTTGTTTATTTGTTTGGCTGTTTCATCCTATGAGATTTAGATTGTTAGCATCATCATAATTCATTTCTTATAATTATATATACACATATTTGGTCGTGTATAAATACGATTTCACTGTACTGAAATGTATAACCTGGTTTAATTAACATTATTATACGTTAATTTTCTTACCGGTCAACTGATTACAAATTAGTCTATTACTCATAGAATTAGATAATATATTATTTTTTGATCTCTTTTTATCATTTACCTTATTTTTTACGGGCTTGTTTGGAATAAAATGAAGTATTTTTATCTATAGAGTTGTGTTTGTTATTCACTGACTGAAGACGATAGTTGTTTGAACTAGAAATTGCTTTATAATACTTTAGTAATATATTTTGAAATAATCAATTTAGAGATTTCGCTAGTTGTAATTTTTAGGTAACAGATAAAATAGTTCCAGTTTCGTAATATATCTGCCACTTGTAGCACTATGAAGAGCCAAATATAATCGTTATTAATAATCAACAGTCTCGTCAATAGATTTCTGTGCATTCGGGTTCAATTCTTATTTACATCATACAACAGAGTAGGTAATGGATAGGGATTCGTAATTATTTACCAATCATCCCTTTGACTGTACTCACACGCTTTCTTAGACAGCTACATTTTTATAAAAGAATTGTCTGCATTAGAGTAGTCTAGTTTTTACAACTAAATATCTGATCAAAATAATTTTTAGTGGCGACATATATCAAATGTCACTTTGTGATTAAGAATTTCATCATAATTTGTCGTCATATCTCGAAGGATTACCAGTTTTGAGATTACTTCAATGTTATATTTTCACTAATATGTTAGTGCTAATTAGTATCCCATAATTAGATTGCAATACTAACTAAGTTTAACTTCTTGCGAACCCAAATTCATCCGTATTGTAAATGCAACAACCATAGTTGCTACCTTGACGTGATGGTTGGGCTAGCTTATCGTGATGACTCAACCTAGTTATGGTGGCTGTAACACATGCTCCTTCAGGTCCTACCATGCCAGGCAGATTGGTTTGAGAATGGTGAGACTAAAATAAGCAGCTAAATGTTCGAGAGCAATGTCGTACTGCTGACTGTTGAGGGGTTCGACAGTGGCAAGATGTTTCCCTCGAACAAGCATCATCTGCAGCGGAAGAACCCTAGAAATATTACAGCTCACCTTACCTCGGGTTTTCGTCTCCGGTGGTAAATTGTATTGAAGTGCGAACCTAGCACGTTAAAAAGGTCCAAAAAATTTCATGCGTAACTGGCCTCAAGCTGTTGTTCCTTAGGTTCTGTGGTCATGCTCTCAGGTCGCCGTGACCACAACTAATTCAGCTTTTTGTCAGATCCTTGAAGAAGAAATATCCTTTCATGACGTGACAATCACTCATACCTCTATCAGTACCTGAGACCATCTTTTTCACGACCAAATCACTCATTCGCTTCTTAATAATTCTTTCATCCCAATCACTAACCCTTTTCGTATATCTTCATCACGCTCCACGAATGCTAGTGCTTTGGATTCATGGAATTTTATTCCTGGTCTTCTGACAAAACATCGTAAAGGCGTTTAGGCGGACCTTATGGTGTTGCAGCTTAGTGAAAAAACTCTACAATCGGCTCAGAAATGGTCTGAAAAGATCACATTTTCATCAGCAGTCGTCGGAGAGGCTCGGTACAAGACTTTTTCATTCTGGAGTACATGTTGAGACTCGGATCATGCCACAGTTCGATCATTTATTTGTCTGCATCTTACTGGACAACAAGAAAATCCCTTACACCCCAAATTAATAACGAAAACGTTTAAAATACATTTCAGGAGCAACTGTAGGAATTAGTCGACCATGAAAATAGTAATCACTCTGAGGTAGCTTGGCATGGTATCGAAAAGCCATGAAAGCATCAGTGGCATCTACTCGTAAATTAAACCAAACGGTTAAGTAAAATCAGTGGGTTTCATCGTGATCTACAGAACTGACAGATGCTTGGAAACTCATCCCATCTGGCTCTTAACATGAGGAGCGGATGCAGCTTAAACATGGGCTCATAAAAATTTTACTTAATAATCGTAGGGAGTGGTAAGTTAAGAATGTAGAAATGGTGGAGAAGACAATGATGATTAGTAACAGTAAACAACTGATCAGTCTTACCAAGGAAACGGGTATTAAAATTCGATTGTTAGTGAAAGTATCTCAGTTATCCGCTATCTCTAAGCAACCTTAATGGCAAAATAATGTAAGTCCCTCAACTCTTGGCGAAATTGAAAAGGCTGTAAGTAACCTAAAGCGAGGTAGAGCAGACTCTGGAACATAAACATACTTTTGATATCCGTTAGTAGTTGTATTCTCTATCCTTAGAGCACCATTCGACTCGTGAGGTTATGTGGCAGTCAGTCACTGGAAGACGTACCAACGAAGTACATTAACGTTGTACAGGCCTTCTACTCGAACACTAATGGTCGAGTAAGAGCTTATGGCAAACTGTAGTTGGAATCAGTTATTTCAAGTGTTCGTTGGAGTTCTTCACTTTGTCCATTTTTATTTAACTTGATCATAGAAATGCTATGAGAGATAACACTTTTATCGTCTGACTCATCAAAGATTGATCTTCTACCAAAAGATTCACTTGTTGACTTAGAGTACTCAGATGATATAGTTCTGTTTGTTGAAGACACTGAGAAAATTCAGTCTCTTGATTAACTTAAGCAACAAAGCGAGCATGTTTTTGATGCAATTGTCTACCTCCAAATTTAAAATGTTACTTCGCAGTTGACTTACGTCAGTGCCTGAATTAGTGACAAGGAATGAAGTAGCTGAACTCACCGACTGCCTCACTTATCTTAAGATTCCCATCAGACCTGAAGGTCTGGCGTTTAATGAAATCTCCGCACGGATTCAGAAAGCTCGACTGGTTTTTACCAACTTGCGTCACGGGGTATATCAGATATCAGTCTACCAACCAAAGGAAGAGTTTGTTATGCAGAAGTCCGTTCTACTCCATGGGTGTGGAACATGGTCATCAAGAATGGGCGATTTTCGGGGATTCTTCGAAGCAGTGCTCATGTGCTTTGGGACCACGGAGTTGGTAATCCCCAAGTTAAGAAAATGGTACTAAGTATGGCAAATCAATTGATGAGGTAGTAAATCTTCATCGATTAAGGTGGTTGGGAAATTTATTACGTATGCCCAACCACCGTGTACCTTGAGGAGCGGTGTTATCTGGTTTAGAAGTAGAGTGGAAGAAAGCTAGGGTTTCAAATCAAAGCATAACATCAGTCGAGAAAATCACCGGCAATCGGAATAATCCATGATAAGTTGTGTCGACTAAATGGCTTAGGTCTACCTGGTTACTATTTGGAATTTTTATCGTGCATATTTCGCTCACTGGTACATCCCATATGTTTAGTTTGCCCATATATATATATATATATATATATATATATATATATATATATATATATATATATATATATATATATATATATATATATATATATATATATATATATATATATATATATATATAGAAAGTCTCCCCAAAACTGCTTCCACGAGTTACTGTTGAGAAGCTATCATCTGCTGCTATAATGGTAACTGCAATTTTTCCGAAGAGTGCCATTTTCACTGCTAACATTATTGTTTTTGCTATGTCAATTGTGATGGCTTATGCCACTGAAAAAATTGCCAATCAGAATACTGACTTATATGACCTAGTTCCCGTGTTAAAACATTGATATCTCAACCGCACTATCAGTCTTGCGTCAACTCTGAATCCTCATTGGTCCTCAATATTGTAGTTTCTCACCTAGCCCTACCCGTTGAGACCAGAGAACAATATTCGCCTCTACTATATGGATAATCCACATAGTTTGTATACAGGCAGACTAGACCTCATAACACCATGAAACGAAAAATGACAGTTATATCAGATCAAGCCAAAAGTGGCTGTGAATATGAGAGACGATAACTAATAGATCATGAATAAACTAAAAACAGTAAATCATATAATGGTACCTAATAGGTCAAATGAAGACATATGGTTAAAAAAAATGTAAATGTATACAATCCAGTTACCTTCAAAGAATATATATGTATATAAGTCCATAAACAATTCCTGGATGCAACCATTATCGCCCATACTTTTACTATCTCTAATACTCTGGGACCATGTCATCTCTCTTTGCTAATGGGGTTATCAGACAGAAGCTCATTAGTGACATTAGGAGCGTGATAAATCTTTCCAACAAGGAAAAAAACATCGATAGGTCCTGGGTTCAAATCTCGCGAGGCGGGACCAGGGATGCGCACTACTGAGTCCCACAATAGGACGAAAAGGCCGTTCAGTGCTTTCACGTTTTCCATGATAGTCTAACTTTAAGTGACTAGTAGATCGAAATATGTATAAAGTGTATAAGCTGAAAATGCATAAAAATCCACAAAGCACTGGTTGTATTGTTTTATAGAATGAACAGAAATATGTGGCTGTAAGATTAGTAGATTTTGGTGAATTGAGTAAATCATTTAGTCGAATTTTATATAGTTGTCTTAA